TCATTTTTATAGCAGACTACATTAAAACAAGTTAAGTCATTAAAAAAAAAAAGAAAGATGGGAATGAATCATTAGTTTTCTTTCTTTTTTTTTTTTGGTTTTTTGGTTTTTCGAGACAGGGTTTCTCTTTGTATTTTTTACTTTTTTTTTGTAGTTTTCAAAATACATAAAAAAAAAGCTGTCATGGAGCTTAGATTTTAATGCAATAAACACAAGAAGTGACCCCAGTGGAATCTGAGTGACAAGGAGGTGAAGTGGGAAGAGGCCAGGGTTCTAGTAGGTTGTTGTGGCTGGGTCGTGTGGGAAGGTGGCTCTGAGGAGACTCAAGGAAGAGAGTAGGGCACAGGGAGGCCTGGGGCCAAGGATTCCAGGCAGAAGGAGCAGGCTCAAGGAGGGTGGCACACTAGAGAAATGCATGGCAGTGTGGCTATGGCGGAGAGGGCATGTTGGGAGCTCACAGAGGGATAACAGGTCGGAGGCTTCTCTGGAAGAAACACCTCCTCTGAGTCACACTGGGAAAGTCTCCGGTAGCTGGAAGAAGTCATCATGGATGGCCTACAGCAGGGAGCCTGAGGGAAGAGATTCCGGTCAAGTCATTCACAGGGGTGAAAGGTGCCTCAGCCTCTCAGGGCTCTCTGCAGATGAAAGGATCCAGAAAGTTTTCCAGAATAGAGCCAGTCGTTGCTGGAGAGAAAGAAGGCTGGGCTGCTGAAAGTTTAAAGGTTGAGAGTATGTGTCACTCTTGCAGAGGACCTGGGTTCTAGGGGATCCGATGTCCTCTTCTGGCCTCTCTTGGTGCCCGTGTCCACATGAACACAGCTCGCAGACATCGTGCGTGCACACATAGACACACACACACACAAATGAAAGTAAATGTGGTTTGTTTTTGTTTAGGATTCATTTATTTTTATTTTATGAGCATTGGTGTTTTGCCTGCGTGTATGTCTGTGAAGGTACCAGATTCCCTGGAATTGAAGCCACAGACAGTTGTGAGCTGCCATGTGGGTGCCTGGAATTGAAACCCTGTCCTCTGGAAGAGCAGACAGTACTCTTAACCCCTGAGCTGTCTCTCAAACCCTTGTTTTGTTTTTTGAAAAGCAGACCCAACAGGATTGAGGGTGGGGACTGTAAGGGAAACTGAAGACTCAAGGATGCCTGGAGGGCTCTGGCCAGGAATCTGGAATACAGGTCGGAACTTAGCATTTGTTTTGGATATATTGGACACTTTCAGACCAAGGAACAGGCAGTTCAGGGGAAGGGATGTGGGGCTATGGATAAAATTGAAGACATGATTCAAAGCATATTTAAAATGGCTGAGGAAACAGTCTCAGGAAACAACGTGACCTGGACGTGGTGGTGCACACCCTTAATCCAAGCACTCAAGAGGCAGAGGCAGGCAGATTCCTGAGTTTGAGGGCAGTACGGTCTGAATGATGAGTTCCAGGGCCACACAGTGAGACACTGTCTCCAACAAGCAAACACATAAGCAACTAGAAAACAAAGCAAACGGATCCCGAGGAACAAAAGTGGGAGGTGACCTCTGACCTCTGACCTCTGGCATCCACATGAACCTGCTTACACACATCCACAGTAAACAAACAAACAGACAAATACTCAGAAGCACTCCCATAATGCCGATGGGGATCTACTGTGATACAATCTTTCTGGGAGTCAAATGCTAAAATCTACATACCGTTGGCTGTGGAATTCTGGCATATTAACCCCACCCACGTAAATATTATACAGCTACACGAAGTATGTACCAACACGAGCGAAGGTCCTCTTGATGGCAGCATTCACAGTAGAACACAAACCAAAACACGCCAAACAAACACAAACAAGCACAGTCCCTGTAGAGTGCGATAGAGTAAATGAAGAAAAGGCCATAACAAATAGCATGGTGTTGTGTTTTTTGAGTAATAAAAACGATCTTATAAATATCAGTGTTTGTATAAGCAGGGAAAAATAGTTGTAACAATATGGTAATCTAATTATCCAGTGAAAAAGAGCTGAAAACACTTTTATTAAATAGTAGTTTATTGTCAGTCCTGGAGATTGAACCTGGGGCCCTCGAATGCCAGGCAAGTGCTTTCCCACTGCACCACACCTCCGACAATCCTTCTAGTTGTCATTTCAGATAGGATCTTGCTGAGTTGCCCAGGCTGACCTTGAACTCTCTCTGTAGCCAGATCAGACATTGAATTTCTAATCCTTCTGCCTCAGGTTCCTAAGGAGCTGGGATGAGAAAACTATGGCACCAGACCCAACATTGTTTGTTACCTTTGTGGACTGTTTGAGATTTTGTTTTTGTGACTCATGACTATAGAGAATGCTTCATGTATGGAAGTATAAAACAAATAAAGTAAAAGAAGTGTGTGGAGTCGGGAGGTGGCGGCGCACGCCTTTAATCCCAGCATTTGGGAGGCAGAGGCAGGTGGATTTTTGAGTTCGAGGCCAGCCTGGTCTACAGAGTGAGTTCCAGGACAGCCAGGGCTACACAGAGAAACCCTGTCTCGAAAAAAAAAAGAAGTGTGTGGAACCAAGAGACAGATAAACAGCACTATCGCAGGCTGCAGGAGAGACTATGAAATGAAGAGAGAGACTCATCAGGAATTCCCTTTGTGTCCACAGAGTCCCCTGGGGAGGTGACTGGACAGATTGATGGATGGATGGACAGCCAGACGGACAGAGAATAGGTGAAGAGAGGAGAATGGAAAGCAAGAGAAGTTGGGGTGACAGGCAGGGAGGGGATTGTAGAGCCACCTGCATGAGGACTGTTGCCGTGACCTTTGACACCAGAAGGGCTGAACACTGTGAGAGACTTTGGCTTGAACGGGTCAGCTGAGCAGACAGTGAGACGGGGCATGCAGAGGAGAGGGATGGGGGGCTTCCCTGTGACAGGCTCAGCCCCCCTGTGACTTTCTGTGAGGACATCTGGGTAGAGAGTAGAGAAGCACAGAAGAGCAGCAAGAATCAACTGTCCCAACGCCTGGGAGCATGTCTGCAGTGGAGCAGCTGCTAATGACAGGACCACTCGTTCTGGGAAACCTCCCTTACATGAGGGCCACGCACACTCGACTGCTATTCTGCTACTCTCCTCAAGCAAAGCCCCTCCCCACACCACTGAGAACCGGGTGTGTGTGTGTGTGTGTAGAAAATGCACATTCTAGTCAGCACTAGGAGCAGGCAGTTAAAGAGGAGGCCTGCCATGGTCCTGGAAACAGACTCAGGATATTTGGGAAATGCTTTCAGGGTCCCAGGTACCTAAAGGTTGGCCATGGGCATTTCACCTGGCTGGGTTAACTCTTTCCCTGCAGGGAAGAATGTAGCAGGGAGACATCCAGACCCTGCTCCTTCCAGTGCACACCTTAACAAGGCCCTCTGCTTTTCCTACATCTGGACAGTAAGGTCCCTCAAAGAACAGATGAGGGGGCCAGCCAAGAGTAGCGGAAATGGCTCAGGTCTGTGGGTGAACATCCTGGGGACTCGACTCAGGAAGTGGGTTTAGAGCTGTAAGGCAAGCAAACTCACACCTAAGTAGAAAGTGACTATTTTGGCATCTGTGTTAGTTAGGAAAGGGTATCTAGAGGTACAGAGCTGACAGCATGGTGCACACACACACACATGCACACACACACACAGGCAAAACACCCACATACATAAAAAAAATTTAATTAATTATTTTGGCTTTTTTGAGACAGGGTTTCTCTGTGTAGCCCTGGCTGTCCTGGAACTCACTTTGTAGACCAGGCTGGCCTCAAACTCAGAAATTCGCCTGCCTCTGCCTCCCAAGTGCTGGGATTAAAGGCGTGCGCCACCACTGCCCAGCTTAATTTTTTACTTTTTAAAGATTTATTTATTTATTTTATGTTTGTGAGTACACTGTCACTATCTTCAGACACACCACAAGAGGGCATCAGATCCTATTCCTATTACAGGTGGTTGTGAGCCACCGTGTGGTTGTTGGAATAGAACTCAGGACCTCAGTGCTCTCAACTTCTGAGCTATCTCTCCAGCCCCCTTATTTTTTGTTTTTCATACAGTCTCACTAAATAATCCTGGCTGGCATGGAACTTGCTTTGTAGAGCAGGCTGGCCTCAAACGCAAGAGACCTGCTTGCCTCTGCCCCCTGAACACTAGGATTAAGGTGTGCGGCCCCTCTAGAGAAATGGACCAGTACGAGTGCACCTTACAAAAGAGGGCTTTAGACTGGGTCACCAACAGTGGCCGTTTGTGCTTGATGGCTGCTTGGTTCTTAATGCTGCCAGTGAAGGGCTGGATGATTTCCTGGGGAGCCACAGCTCGGGTCTCAATAGTGACCTCCAGCCCAGCCTGAGCTTCAGAGTGAGACGCTGTCTCAAAGTAAAAGCAAAAACAAGGGATCACTTAAAACAAAACCAACCAAACAACAATATATGTGACGAACATTCCGAGCAAATTACAATAGGGATGGCGACACTTGGGTAGTAAGAAACATGGCTCTGCATGCAGTCAGACCAGCACGACAGTGAATCTTTTTGTCCATCAAACTTCATAATAAGCCCGCCTCTGAAAGGGTGATGCTGGGGCTGAAGAGATGGTTCAGCCGTTAAGAACACATAGTGCTCTGACAGGGGAGCAACATTTACTACCCCAGAACCCATGTCAGGTGGCTTACAACCGCCTATCAACTCCCGGAGATCCGACCACCGGCAACTGCACATATATAAAATATATATATACAAAGACACATAAAATAAAAATAAAGCTTTACAAAGAAAAAAAGAAGAAGAGATGCTAGATGTTACAGCGGCGTTCTCCAGTGTCCAACACTCGGGAGGCCGAGGAGCAGGCGGAGGTGGAATGGTAAGTTTGAGCCAGCCTAGACCACCCATCTGTACGTTAGGAATGCAAACCTTTAGATGACGACAGGGATGACGCTCTTCTAGAGGAAAAGCTAGACGGAAGGGGCGGAGCCGGAAGCAGAAGTGGGATGCGAAGTCTACAGCGTCTCTGTTGCCATGGAGCCCGAGATCAAGGAAGAGCAGCAATCCACAGCTTCCTCGGCCGTTATGTCCTCAGAGACCCTGATGGACTCTACCCCGCACCAGCCCAGCTGGTCCACCAGGAAGTACTTGCGATCCTCGACCATCTTCATGGATCATTGCCAGTTCGGCTTCCCTACGCGGTCCCTCCGCGCCGGGTTCCAAGCGCTCCCGCCACTCCCTGAGCCGCAGACACTGCGTCTGCGCCCCGCCTCCCTGCGCACGCAGGATATCTCACATCTGCTTGCCCGAGTCTTCCGAAACCTGTACACCGCCCAGGTGATCGGAGATGACTTGAGCGACAGCTTAATCAAAGCCCGCGGCAGTGAGGATGTGCGCCACGAGGAGTTCCTGGACCAGCTGCAGCAGGTATAGCGGGTGCATCCTGGGATACGGTCCGGATGCAGCCGCGCCAAAGTGAAGAACCCTATCCAAACTTTATACATATGCATATAAATGACACCTCCAGCTCCTTTCTCGGCGCACAAGCACATTATATGTTGCAAATATAAACGAAACGACTGGAGCGGACAGATCCAGTCATGGTTAGGCATTTTCTGGATCAGCAACGTGGTTTCCTCTTTTGCACTGGGATCAAGACTGATGATCCTGCCTCTTTGTGACTGGCTGTTGAGGACTCCCTTCCCATCTCTCCCCTGTATCAGCCTCTCGGACCTTTCCTTTTTCTTCTTCACTCCTTTCTGTTCATTACTCTCTCCTTATACGACATAGACTAGCTTCATTCATTCCTTTCTAACACATAACTACTGTGTGCTGTGCTCAGTGCTAGGCAACTGAGGGAGGACTCAGTAGCCATGAATACATTTCCAGAGGGATACACCTCAGTGTTGCCTGTGCTTGCCTGGCTTACCCTCAACCCCCAGCAATGCAAAACAAACAAACAAAAACGGGAAAAAGAAAATTTAGGAGCTGGTAAGATGGCTCAGCAGGTAAAAGTGCTTGCTGACACCCACTCCCCACGCCCACACACACAAAATATTAAGCCCTCCTCCCTGGTGGCAGAATATTGACAGACCCTATCTTAGGCAGGTAATCATGGCAGAGTGAGATCAAGCATTCAGTAGCCAAATTGTTCCCAGAAAACACCGGTCCACCTCACTCCACCCTTCCTCTGCCTTTTTTTGTCCCCACCTAATGTTGTGTGAACCTCAGAGGGAGGGATCCAGGACTCCCACTGATGGCTCAGGATTCAGCATTCCCTATTCTCAGTCTTTTGATGGTTATGGATCTCTGCAGTTCCTGTGGGAAAACGGGGCCTCTCTGCCCACAGAAATTGTTGGAAGCCCTGGGCTCTCTTGATCAGAGCTCCATGCGGCCTCACTGGCTGTTGGTCTTTCCCATTTCTGTCTACAGAAACATTGCATGGTTCGATGTTTAGGCCAACAAGCTCAAAACCCATGCTGGGGCTTGAACCCCGCCTCCACTATATGGCACTTGTATGACTTTGAAGATTAAGGAAGTCACTTCAGTGAAAAACCATTCACTGATGGCTTTGGGTAGGATCCCAACTCTTACATCCAAGTGTTAGGATCAGGGCTTTCTGGGAAGTCCAAGGAGCAGGGCACTTGACTTAAGCACGGTACTTGATGTTCAAGGCTGTCCGGGCTCTGCTTTCTCAGAGGAGTTTTCCGTCCACAAGAAGACTGAGCCACTACCTCCATTCCTCCACTGTGTACCCACTCATCTACTTTAAAGAATGGCTAGGGCTGAAGAGGTGGCTCCTTAGGTCAAGGCATTTGCTGCTGAGCCAAATGACCAGAGTTTTCTATCTTCAAGACCCACATGACAGGAGAGAACAGACTTCCATAAGTTGTCCTCTGGCATCCATAAGCTCACCATAGCATACGTGCCCCCCAGTAGATAAAAAAACCAAGAATGACTAAGTAAGTCTGAGTCCCAGCAAAGCAACGAGAAGTGCTAGCTTCCTGCAATGCTGTCTTGGGATTTCCCCGCCCTGTGAATACTTTGCTTTGAGTCCAAAAATACGTGTGTTAGAAGCATGGCTGACTGACTTGTCTATCTAAGCAGTCTTGAAGTTGAAGCATATGCTGGGGGCAGCCAGGTTAGACCTCTCAATGCTAACGTGGCAGAGTTTTGGGGTATAAGGTTTGCAAGGGTTAAAAAAGCAGGACTGAGTCACAGAAGGTGAAGTGAGACAGGGACCCAGTAACTTGGAAAATTCTGTAGGTTGGGTCCTGGAGAGCAGGTACAGCGTCTGGATGAGGTCACCATGTTGGAGTTTGTAACACAAGTTCAGATCCCAGCACCCACATAAAAATCTGGGCATGGCTATGCCTGCCTATAACCCCAACATTGTCTGAGGTGGAGGGTTGCCGGGATGGCTGACCATCAGGCCTACTCCCAAGTTCATCGAGAGACCCCATCTCTAGAGAAAAAGGTGAAAGGTGATAAAACAGAGCAGCTACTACCTTCCTCCGCGCTCTGCATGTACATGCATGTACACATCCAGACACACATTTAAAACTGTTGATTTTTCATTTCTGTGTATGTATGTGTGTCTCTGTGTGTTCTAACACATGCGTGTGGAAGACAGAAGACAATATCCGATTCCCTCGGGGCTATAGGTACAAGCAGTTGTGAGCTGGCTGGCGTGGGTACTAGGAACCGAACATGGTCCTCTGGAAGAGCAACAAGTACTGTTAAGAACAGTCATCTTTACAGCCTTCAAACAAAAAACAAACGAACAAAAAAACCACCACAGTAATCTTCTCTGGGTAGCACATTACCCGATCACATTTCTCTTTGGGTCAAAGTAGCCATGGCTTTAGGTACACTGATGTGGATTCTGCAAAAAAAGATGCCATCTCCGGTGGGCCCCTTCCAACAGCTTAAGTAAAGGCTGCCAGCTGGAAGCTGCACACTGGCTATGTTTGATGGACCTAGAATGGACCTTGTCTGAATCAAGATCTGGGTAGCCTTACTTTGCTGTACCAAAACAGGTTTGCATTTCACAGTCTGGCAGAAGCTCTCTTTACTGTGAAACCAGGAGACAGAGGACCAGGCTTGACTCTTACTGACCACACTATGGAATTGCCATTTCCTTCTCTTGACCTCAGAGTTTAGTCTGGTGGGTTGGACCAGAGGGTTTTGATAGTTGTGTTGCGGTGCTTGGCTGAAAGCCCCGATGTGAAGAGGCACAGGGTCGAGCCAAAATGTAGGATCTCCTCAGATTTCTGTGCATTTGAATGCCCATTTGCAGGCTCGAGCCATCTACAAACAGCGTCTGGATGAGGTTGCCATGTTGGAGAAACATATCATCCAGGCCCGTGCACGGGATATTGCGGAAACAGAACATGCCACCAAACAGAACAGGCTACATGTCGTGGAGACTCCTGTCAAACTGCCCCCAGGTAGGTGTGAAGTCAGTCAGTCAGTCTGTCTGTCTGTCTGTCTGTCTGCCTCTACCTCTGCAGCTGTTGATATTGTACTATATATATCCACACCACTGTGTTTTTTTTTATTTTCTGAATATTGGGAGAGTACATTGCAGACATGACAGTCAACCAGTACAAAACACTCCAGCGTGCACGGTCACGCTGAGTGACCACGCTGAGTGGTCAGAAGAGCACTGATCCACGTGGCCAGCATTTGACTCTCCAAGCCAGGGACTTGGCAATGGTGTAACATCGGTCCCTGACCCAGAGGTCCTATTTAGGTCCCAGCAGCCAAACCACAGCTTCCTCTCCTCTGACTGTTCCTGTCAAGTTTGCCGGGTAGGCTGGGCTGGCTGGCGAGTGAGTCCCAGGAATCTGCCTGTCACCACCTTGCAAATGCTGGGATTTCACTTTGTGCACAAGCACAGTGACCCAATAGTGAACAGACATCATTTATTCTGGTTTCTCACCCTGCTTGTAATATGTCTTTCTTCTATTTCAAAAGTGGTAGAGAAAAAACCCTAGGGCATCTTTACAAATATCCATCTGGTCCCTATATCTCAGGGCAGGGCAGGCAACCCTAGGACACATTCCCCATGTACAGTACCAATGATGGAGACAGACAGCTGCCTTTATTATCCCAGGCACAGAGTGCCTCATCCTGACCACCAACACAGCTGTCACACGGTGAGGAGACTTTCACTTCTCCATATGGGTGGACAGAGGTCATGACTCCACAGAACAGCTTCTGTGCTCATTCTTGCCCTTGCTGGCCACTGCTCCACACTAGCTTCTGTGGACCGGAACAACCAGCCCCTTGCAGAGCTGTGTTCAGTAGCCATAGGGTGGGTGAAGCCTGCCATCCCAGAAGGAAGAAGACCGTCATCAGGGCAAGGTTTTTATAGGTCCAGGTCAGATATGGAAAGAGACTCTTCAAAGATGTGCAAAAAAAAAAAAAAAACTGACTTGGTGAGGGCTGGGGAGAAGGCTCAGTAGGAAGAGCATGGCCAACTTCTGCAGAGGACCTGAGTTTAATTCCAAGTACAGGCAGCTCACACCCACGGGTAACTCTAGCTCCAGAGGATCTGATGTCTCTGGCCTTTCCCAGCATTGCTCTTTCTACCTACCCCCTCAAGGCATGTATACACATGCACCCACATGCATACACATACACACATCCGAACACACATGTACACGTGGATACATGTACACACATGTACATGTACATACATATATACACACACCTGCACACACATGCATACACACACATGTGAACACACATGTACACGTGGATACATGTACACACATGTATATGTACATACATATATACACACACCTGCACACACATGCATACATGCACACTCTTAAAAATCTTTTTTTTAAACTGCCTTGAAAATGGGCAATGATACGTATGTCAAATATTATAAAAGAGCCCATTAGTTTATATGCCAGCTTGAGAAACAAACAAAGGAGCAAAGAAACCACCATGACTCCTGAACCCTGGGAGAATGGAGAAGAAGGTTTGAAAAGAGGATGGTTGGGGGTTGGAGAGATGGCTCAGCGGTTAAGAGTACTGATTGCGCCGGGCGGTGGTGGCGCACGCCTTTAATTCCAGCACTTGGGAGGCAGAGGCAGGCGGATTTCTGAGTTCGAGGCCAGCCTGGTCTACCAAGTGAGTTCCAGGACAGAAAGGGCTACACAGAAAAACCCTGTCTTGAAAAACCAAAAAAAAAAAAAAAAAAAAAGAGCACCGATTGTTCTTCCAAAGGTCCTGAGTTCAATTTCCAGCAACCACATGATGGCTCACAACCATCTGTAATTGGATCTGATGCCCTCTTCTGGTATGTTTAAAAACAGCTATAGTGTACTCATATAAATATAATAAATCTTTAAAAAATTAAATAAATAAATCTTTAAAGAAAAAGAAAAGAGGATGGCCCTTCCTTCCTTCTGACACATGATCATCACAAAACCTATGGAACTAGGCTGGACGGTGTCTACTTGGCATAGCTTTTGCTCCCCACCCAAATCTTCCCTGCCAAGGGAGGGTGGGGGCCATCACTTCCAAAAGGGCACCTTCTCTGTGGTTCCAGGATCCATCAGGGAAGGACCCCGGGGGATTCTGGAAGGAGAGGCCATGAGCCCCAAGAAGTAGCTTGTGGGTTACTTACTGGCTATGAGGATTTTTGTCCACTGACTGACATTTTTAGTTATTATATGGATTTAGTTATTATATGGATTTTTACATGTGCCTATGCACCTGAGTGTAGTACCCACAGAGGCCAGAAGAGGGTGGAAGATCCCCAGCAGTTGGAGTTCTAGTCTGTGAGCCACCAGACATGCGCAGGAGCAACAAGCCCCCTTAACCCTGCCTTCTCTCCAGCCAGGCTATTTTGGGGCTGCCTTCAGATGACTTATTAAGAAACCTTTGCTTCAGGGATGCTAACCGCTGTTAGTCATGGTGGTTCCCGGCCTTCTCTTCTTTAGCCTTTGATACTTTGTACTCAGCTGCCTTCCGTTTGCTATGCCAGCAGCAGTTTCTGCTTTTGGCTCTGATTGTTAACTTTAGACCAAATCTCCGGATTCCTGTCCGCACCCATGAAGGCAGACGATTACTGCTCACCTTTATTGCTGGATGCTAGGGACCGGCCTCATGACTTTATGTATGCCAGCCAAGTACTCTACCAACTGAGCTACAGCCCAGTCCCTAGAGGAACTTCTAACAGAGCACAAGAAGACTGCCCCCGTACATAGCATTGTAGAGTTATGTAAACACCGACTGTGTAATACAAAGAGTGAACTCTCTCTTAGAACGTGGGTTTTGAGTGATGGTGGTATGTCAGTGTAGGCTCATTGTTTGCAAAGAGTGTGCTGTTCTTAGGAGGATGCCAGTAACGGATAAAGCTACACCTGCACAGGGGCAGAGGGACATGGAAACTCTCAGGCCTCCTTAGTTTGCATGCCAATTTCTAACTACTCCAGAGTCCAAAGCAAGCAGATGGCTCAGTGTGTAAAGGCTTGCTGCCAAGCCTTGCAGCCAGGGTTTGAACATCAGGACCCGCTGATAGAAGGTCAATTGACTCCTGCAAGTTGTCCTCTGGCCTCTACACATCCACCATGGCCCCCACAGGCCCCCACAGACATGTAATAAACAAACACATGTAATTAAAATACAGCAAAAGTCTATTTTAACAAAACCCTCCTCCTCACATCTGCCGGAGTAAGATCACGCCTCCTTCATGTCGCTTGTCAAGGGCATCCATGTCCAGTTGGTGTTTGTAGACACTAGTGTTATAAACCATATATATTATACATTATATATTAATTATATATTACAAATTGTAACACATAATATATGATATATAATATATATAAAATATACTATACCATATATATCATATATGTGTCACATGTTAAATGTTACATATTATATATTATATTCTATATTATAATGTGTGTGTTTACTATCATTTTTTTGGCTCATCAATTGCAAACATCAACTTCCTCTCTATTAAATGGCTTTCTCTAATGTGCCATTAGGTCCATGGGAGTTGGCTGAAGCTATAGTTATTGCTTGCTGTAGATTGGGCTCAGCTATTCTCCACGTGGCTTTTATGCTGGTGTCTGAGATGAAGAGACAAGGAAGTTCTCTGTTGATGGGCAGAGTCGGGGGGGGGGGGGAAGCTCAGATGCATCATGGAAAAGGACATGCACAAGAAAGGAAGGCTTGCATAATCCAAATCTATCAATGGAAACCAAGATCCACCCACAGGTCACCCCCTAGCCACCAGCTCCTCCTCCTGGACTCCACCAAAAGAAGCCCTAAACAATAGCGCAGGCCCTTGGGCGCTCTAACTCAAGCAGCCCTTGCAGTCGGCATCCTGTGTCTCTTTGAAAAGAGCTCCTTGCAGCTTTGCTATTTGTGTGTGCTAATCTAATTCTTTTAATAAGATGCCACGAACCCAGCCAGGCAGTGGTGGCGCGCCTTTAATCCCAGCACTTGGGAGGCAGAGGCAGGCATATTTCTGAGTTTGAGGCCAGCCTGGTCTACAGAGTGAGTTCCAGGGCTACACAGAGAAACCCTGTCTTGAAAAACCAAAAAAAAAAAAAAAAAAAAAAGATGCCACGAACCTGGACTCACCCGACCGGGACTGTTGGTTGCACTGTCACTAGTGACATTGCAAGGAACATTGGGATGAAGAACTGGGGCTTGTGTTGCATCTGCCACACTTGATCTTATGCCACCACAGACTCCACATATGGTACTACTTTATCCCAATAATGTCATGCACAGCTTGGCCCAGTTGTCAGCCTCCACTGAGTGGCTGAGAAATCAATGGCTTCTTAAGTCTTCACCACAGGACTCTGAGAACTCTCCTGGGAAGTGTAGGCTTGGAGCTGGAGGTGTGGGTTCAGCTGCTTCTCCCTGGGACTGCCTTAACTGCCTTTGTCCCATTCTCTTCCCCACAGTGAAGACAGTCTTCAGGTGGTGTATAGACAGCAAGTTAATGCAAAAGCATCACTTAATCAGTACAGAAGATTACTACACTGATCCCGTGCCATTTTGCCCAGCGCCCAAAGGTATCTATCCTCACTCTGGTGGAGCTCAGAGGCTCTGGCTCTGGTGGATGGTGGGGACTTCACTCCTGCTGCTGCTTAGTTGCGCATGGGCTTTCCCTTTATCTAGTTGTTATCTTCACTAGTTCAATTCCTTAAAGGCAAATATTCCATCTCCACCACATGGAATTTGATGTCCCCGGTTGGCTGCCCAGCAAATCAATATACATAGTAGATGTAGTTGAATGGTCCAGCAAAGGGAGGGGCTGAGGACTCAGATCCACAGTCAAGTTGCTGATGCAGGCAGAGTGGACCAGGGTCTTCCCCCTTCCGGAAATGAAAAGCTTTTTCAAACACTGAAAGTAAAGAGAAGAATGGGCTAGGAGACAGACAAAGAGGGAGGGAGGGAGGGGGAAACAAAGTGTGTGTGGGGGGTAACATGATGCTGGACCCATTTCCTGTAACCAGGACGGCAAACCCTAAGAGCAAACGGATGGAAAGCTGCAGGCTTACGAAAGGAGGTAGAGTTTGTAAGCATCGCTGGACAGGTGAAGGGTCACTGTGACGCCTGTATGCAAGCATCAGTTTTAACCGTGCCAGGCTGCATGGACAAGCTCCCAGTAGTCCCATGGACTAGGGCCCTGCGAAGACTTCTTTGGAGCTTTGCAGCTGTCTCTGTTTTGGGGTAGGAAGATTCAGATCCAGGGACCCGAGGGTGAAGGAGGCTGCAGAATCGCTGTGCTGAGAGGCTATGCCGCTTCAGGACTTTGTTATGCCTGGCTGGGAAACAGACTAAGCTCACTCCGTGAGCGCTTATTGGGAATTATGTTAAGACTTGGGGTGGGGCAGCTCGTTAACCTTTTGCTAGCAACAGAAGTCCCCATCTAGGCAAGGGAGCACAGTCTTATGTAAAAAACTAATGCAAACGCTGAGACCTCACATAAGGGCTGTTTGTTTGTTTGTTTGTTTGTTGTTTTTAATATCGCTCACATTAGAAGGTGGAGAGATGGCTCAGAAAATTGCCCTCTGACCATCACACATGCACGAAGACATGTGCATGTTCCCAATAAATAAGACATGATAAAAATAAAACCTGAATAGTGTTAAATCGGGGAGGGGCTGGAGAGATGGCTCAGTGGTTAAGAGCTCTGGCTGCTTCATCCAGAGGAACCAGGTTCAATTCCCAGAACCTAGAAGGCGGATCGTGTTTGTTTAGATTCAGCTCTAGAGGATCTGACGCCTTCAACACCCATGCACATAAAATAAAAATTAATTATTTTAAAAAACGGCTCACACTTTGAGGTGTGTGTTTAGCAATGATTCGCTTGCTTTTGTCAATTAGCCATGCCGGAAGATGGAAAACTACTTTAACCACTAGCCCTATGTCTCAAACACATGGAATAAGTCCCAGGAATAACTCGTGCACTGAACAGCGATATCTGGTGTCATGAATCTGAAAGCTTTGAGGAGCATGCGGCCTGACTGTGGCTCTGGTGACTTTTCTTGCTCACATTAGAAAGACCCCCCTTCCTTAGAGCGGTACAACTAATATGTGTTTCCTCGGCGCCACAGACAAATCCATCCCTGGATGTTCAAAACTGACATTCAGCTGTGAGAAGCGGTTCATGCGCAAGTCAGAGCTGGACAGAAAGGCTGAGGAGCGCTGCAGGAAGCTCTCGGAATATGACGACTTAGAGTACACCGCGGACAGCTGGAGCTCCACATCTAAGACCAAAGAGAAGGCCAAAGACATCGTTAAGGTGAGAGCCGAGCTCTGCTGGGGCACTGGGTGCAGGGATGCGGTGAGAGGGGATTAACCCAGATGAACACTGCAGTTCATGCAGTTGACCAAGAGGGCGACAAGCTCCGACATCCCCTTGCTTGTTATTAACTGTGCTTTCCTGTGCTCCAAAGAAGACAAGCACACCAACAAACAAGAAGTGGATGGAGCACCTGCAGGTGCCACAGAGAGCCCTGGACAGAAGGCTGCTGGCCAGGATGGAGAATCGGAATCATTTCCTGAAAAACCCTCGGTTCTTCCCGCCTAACACACCGCATGGAGGCAAGTCTCTAATTGTGCCTTCGAGGAAGCCAGAGAGAAGAGGATCTCTGAATGAGGAGCCAGAGTGGAGGTGTGTTCTTCCCTCAGAATCCCAGGGAGCCTGAGCTTTAGCACGAGCCTGGGAAGGTTCTGGATCTGGTCTGAGGAGGTCCCTAGACTTTGGCAAGCCAAGGTCGAGTATCAGAGGAGAGCCGGGCTTCAGGGTCACCCTCAGTTATGGCCTTTGACCCTCAGAGGTTGTGCTTTTCTCAGCTGTCAGGAGTTAGAAATAGAGGAGTAGAGACCCCTGAGGGAGCTGGCATGGGCTTCTTATGGGTATCCCAAAGGGGGTGGGGCTGGGGAGTAAGGTCTGTAGTCATGTGACCCTCCCATGGTGTATTGATTACTTTTTTTTTAAATCGATGTGGAAGGTAAGATTGGTTTTGGCTCCAGGTTCAGAGGATTCAATCCATGATGGCCGGGAGGACCTGAGCAGTCAGTCCACTTTGTGGTTGCCAAACGTGGGAAAGGGGTTGTTCGGCCAGCCTCTTGCCTTTCTCCCCTTCCATTCTATTTCAGTCTGTAGGAAGATGCTGCCCACACTCACCGTGGGCCCTTTTCTCCTCAGTCAGCCCTCCCTGGAAACACTCACAGGCACCTACAGGTGTGCCTCACCAGGTTTCTAGGTGATGCTCAACCCAGCCAACTTGACAGTGATAATAGACCTTTCTATAAGAGGCTCATATGTCTTAAACATTTTCTTAGTTACATGTAGTTAAGGCATGTTGTGGTAGATCTCCAACCCCAAGAAGCCTGTGCAAGGAAAACACAACTCAATATGAATGCAAGCTGTGCACCTAAATTGGGCAGATCTACCCCTACACTACTCTATTCCCCAGCTATGAGATCCCTTGCAACTGCGGTTTCTCCAGGCCACGTGCTTCTGCTCCACCTTCCTTCCACCTCCTCTTCTTCTGTCTTCTTCACTCTCCTTTTGTTGGACTTAAAGATCCAAAACCAGGGGACACGCTCCTCCAGAGACACTCACGGATGGGACTCACTGCAATAACATGAGGTTTATTGATAAATTGATAAAACAAAACAAAACAAAACAAAACAAACAAACAAACAAAAACAGTGCACTGGGGTTCTCTTGCATGCAAGCAAAAAGAACCCCGAACCAAAATTGGGGGCAGTTTTTATATCATATTCACAGGGCTCATAAGGGCAGTTTTCCTCTTAATCAATAACCACAAAGGCTGACTTCAACAGCAGTTCTCAGGCCCAGTTGCTAAGTAACTCAAATTTGCACCTTATCTTTTACAACTTAAGTGGCTTCTGTTTACCCAGGTTTACTGTGTTAAGGGCTCATCTCCCTGATAAACTCCTATCTTGGACCCTTCTTCCTGGAATGTTTGTTTGAGCCTTTGGAATGTGCTCTTCCTGGGATGTGCCTCGGGGACAGCTAATATTTGACTCAAACTTAAGGATCTTTCAATTTTAAGTTCAAGCTGAGACCTGAAATTACATTCTTACACTTCCTCTCCTTGTCTCCCCCTCCTCCTTTCCCTCCCTCTTTCTCTAGAACTTTCAGCTCTACCTTTCTGTCCCCTGTCCAGCTCTAGCCTTTATTTTACAAATTACACTGGGGAGAAGGTTCACAGGAAGTCGCCTTGATTCACTCCATGTCTGAGGCAGCCCCTCTAGGGGAAGCAGAATTTGCATCAAAAATACAAACAACACCAGGGCAATTCACAACAAGGGAAAATTTTTCTGTCTTTTTTAGAGACAAAAGAGTCTTTGGCCACATTTCAATAATTGTCTTAAAGGAGTGGTTGCTTTCACGTATTTAACAGTATTAATGTATCTTTTATAAAGAAAAATTGTAAGTGTTTAACGCGTGATTTATCACACGGCCATTATAGGTCAATTATGACACTACAGACATGGCATAGTCTCAAGAGACCGTCATCCCCACATGAATTCAACTCAAGGAAAATCTCTCTTCCTCCAACCCTCCACCCACTTCTTCACCCCTGCAAATTTGAAGCAAATCACAGTTGAATCCTTCCATCCATGAGTTCAGTGTGTCTCCAAGTATGAGATATAATCACATTAATGAATAAAAAAATTAAATGGTTGGTAAGCATGAGTGATTGCTGTGCAAATATGGGGATCCGAGTTCAAATCCCGGTCACTCACATCAAAATCTAGGTATGTCCTGTAACTCCAGTGTTTAAGAGTGAGTGGAGAGAGGTGGATCCCAAGAGCTCACTGAGCAGCCGGACTCACTGAAGCAGCAGCAATCTTCATGTTCGGTGAGAGACCCTGTCTCAATAAAACAAGGCAGAGAGCAAGGGACCCCACCACCACGTGGCCTCCTCTGGCCATATGCAGGCACACCAGTGTGTACCTCACCCCTCACCTCTCCCTCACAGGTGCATCCACACAGATCTAAGAGAAATAAAGAAAAACTGTATTGAAAATCCCAGTTAACATGTTGGTATTTAAACTTCTAGAATTTCCTTATGCATATTGAAAATTCTAGAAGTAGCCTAATATATTTGTCTTTACAAAACATGGATCATGCTTTAAAATTATTATTTTAAGGTTAATTTATATTTTTGATTGTGAGCCTAGCCTTTAATGTCTGAGCCACCTCTCCAGCCCTTAAGATTAATTAATTTTTTTAAAGTAAAAATATGTGTGTGTGTGTGTGTGTGTCTGTGTGTGTCTGTGCGTATATGTATGTGTGTGAGTACAGGTACCCAAGGAGTCCATCTGACCCCTCCCACCGGAGCTGGGGTTACAGGTGGCTGAGTTACCACCGAGCTTGGGCTGTCAGAAGAGCAGTCAGTGCTCTTAGCCACTGAGCCATCTTTTCAGCCCTAAAATTTTTTATAACCTGCTTAGTAAACATCAGCCAGAAAACCCAACAAACAGATTGTTGTGAACACCTTTTATGGCATAGATGAGTTTATTTCTTTACTTTTCGTTTTTTTGAGAGAGGGTGTAGAGTACTGAGGCTGGCCTTGAACTTCTGATGGCTGGGACCATGGGAGTGCGCCACCACATCCTGCTGTCTGAATGAGTGGGTCACGGCTTTCGACTGTGCCAGCCAGATGAAGCTCATAGCCTCTCTCCCCTTCCACAGCTGTGCAGATGCCCCCGTGTTCCTGGCAAAACCATCAGTTGGATTTTTCACAGACTACGAGATTGGACCCATTTACGAGGTTAGAGAGACCTTGCTTCTTTACATCATGGGATTTTCTGAACCACACAGGAAAGCAGGGGAAAGCCAAATGCACATCCACGTGCCTGTCACCCATCTTCCACAACTGCTCGGTGCCCTTCTCCACTCAACAACCTCTCCTCCGGAGTCTGTTGAAGGAGGCACATGCAACATGTCATACGTGTTACTTTTCTAAAAGAAAAGAACCATCAGCTGAGTGGGAGGAGCACTCCAGTCCTCCCCTAGCCTGGGAGCAGAAGAGAGGGTGAGAGTCAGATGTCAGACTAGGCCACATGACAACAAACCAGTCCTGAAGGATAGCTCAGCAGTGAGAGTGCTCACTGCTCTTGGGGAGGACCTAAGATCGAATCCCAGACTCTACTTCAGGTGGCTCACAACTTCCTGTCACTCTAGCTCCAGAGGATTCCAACAGCTCTGACCACCACAGACACCCACACTCATGTGCACATATCCCCCGACACACATGCACGCATGCACACATGTATATGAATGAAAACAACAGATCTTATAGCTGCATTACATAGCTTCTGTCTCCTGTAAATAAGGAAAGGGGGAACGCTAGAATGAATTTGACGACGCTGGGTTGTAGTGGAGGTAAAGCGTGGATTTGTGACTTTAATAACCGTGTAGGCTGAGAAATGACCCAGTGGGTAAAGTGGCTGCCGTGCAAGCCAGCACCCAGTGTGAAGAGCCAGGCACGGTGCAGGCCTGTAATCCCAGCAGCACTGGGAGGATCCTGCAGGCTCACCGAGCAGCCAGCCTAGCCAGTCAGTGAGTACCGGGTTCAGCAAGAGACCCTGTGCCAAAAGGTAGATGGAGAACCATAGATGAAAACACCTGATGCTGGCTCCAAAGATGTGTGGGTACACACGTAAATCCATCCACACACAAATACACACATAAATCCATCCACACCTGGATATACACACACTTGTGTATACTCCATCTACACACACGTGTACACGCATAACCCATCTATGCATACAAAAAAACAAAAGGCTCCCAAGAAATGGGACTCAAGCTTGAGCTCTGGCCTTCGAATGTGTGTACACAAGTAGCACATGCTTCTTCACATGTGAGTACACGTGTAGTACATGCTCCTTTACATGTGAGTACACACATAGCACACACGCCTTCACATGTGACTACACACGTAGCACATGCTCCTTCACATGTGGGTACACACATAGCACACACTTCTTCACATGTGAGTACACACATAGCACATGTGCCTTCACATGTGTGTACACATGTAGCAAGTGCTCCTGAATGTACACAATCACCCACACATGCACACCAAACAAGATGTGCGCACACGTACCAATAGGGCGACACAGAGGCAAATACAGATGTACAGAACAGCATCCCTACTTTATTCCCTAGCTCTACCCACAGACACAGAGAAAAGTAATGTCGCCCTGGGAGTGGGTGGCACACTCACTATCTAGATTTCCGTTCTTAAGTCTTGCTTCCCATTAAAGAAAGCAACAGGGCTGGGGATATGTCTCCATTGGCAGCACTGGTCGAGCATATGTGAAGCCCTGGGTTTGATACCCAGTGTTTTCTTTAATGAAAAGAAAAGAAGGCAGGGATATGTTTGGTGGAGGCACGGTATGGTGCAGGGGAAGGGGTGCCTCTGTGGGCCCATGCTGAAGGATGCTTCCTCCTGAGGGACCAGCCGCAGGACAGCATAGTATAGAATAGAGTTTATGTAGGGCATGGGGAGGGGAGTTGAGAGGGTAGTAGAGACAGACAGGAAGAGAGAGAGAGAGAGAGAGAGAGAGACAGAGAGAGACAGAGAGAGACAGAGAGAGACAGAGAGAGAGAGAGACACAGAGAGAGACACAGAGAGAGACACACAGAGAGAGAGAGACACACACACAGAGAGAGAGTCAGACAGACAGAGAGAGAGGAGGAGAGGAGAGGAGAGGAGAGGAGAGGAGAGGAGAGGAGAGGAGAGGAGAGAAGAGGAGAGGAATAGAGGCCAGCCATGAGCGTGTGGAGAGAGGGGGGAGGGGAATGGGGAGAGAGGGGGAAGAGGGTAAGGGAGCAAGAGGAGAAGAGAACAAGAGAGTGAGGAGGGGCCAAGCAGCTCCTTTTATAGTGAGTCAGGCACACTCGGTTGTTGCCAGGTAACTGTGGGGCAGAGCTTAGACAAAATGCCAACATCCAGCACTTTATAAAACTAGCCATGGTGGTACTGCCAGCACTGGGAGGTGGAGGCAGCTAGAGAACTCCGCACCAGAGAAGGAAAGAAATGAACCAGAAATCTTTGAATTGGAGTTGACTCTGGAGTTGAGGCAGGAAAAATTCAAGGTGAGCCTAACATGTCAGAGGTACTGTGACAGCACCTGGTACTGAGTGTACTGAGTGTGCCCTGACACTGCTGCCCAGACAGTCCTGTTTTACAGCTGAGCACTGGCTATAGCCAGTGCCCAGCCCGGATTCAGAGGTCAGCGAGCTCCAGGAGAGGCCAGTTTATGGAGTCAACCTTGTAAAGAGTCCCTGATACTCCTGAGCACCTATGAAGAGATTTTCGGAGTAGCAGGCAGGCTGAACTACTGCTCAGTTAAGTACACAGCTAGAGAACTCCGCACCAGAGAAGGAAAGGAACTAGAATTTGCTCCTTGCTCAGCTCACACACTCACTCTCTGCTTGCTTGCTCATGTGTGCATGTATGTGTGTGAAAGTGTGTGTGAGTGTGTGTGCATGCGTATGTGTGTGAATGTGTGTAAGTGTGTGCATGTATGTGAATATGTGTACGAATGTGTGTGCATGTGTATGTGAAAGTGTGTGCATGTGTGTAAATGTGTGTGTGCATGTATGTGAATATGTGTGCATGTGCATGAATGTGTGTGCATGTGCGTGAATGTGTGTACATGTGCGTGAATGTGTGTGCACATATGAGTGTGTGAGTGTACAGACACAAGGTCAAGCTTGGATGCTGTTTCTCAGGAGCCATCACCCTGAAGCCAGGTCCTCGAGTTTATACAAGCTCTTTACTGACTGAACGATCTCCCAGCCCCTGTTTGGTTGTGAATACACACAGTTCCCACCTTCGCTGGTTGTCAAGAGGTTGAGGAGGCCCAGAGCAGAGGCTTTGTAAAAGTGTGGTCAGCCTTATAGCACATGGAGTCAATCAACAACAGTAGGTTGAAAAAGTTCAAGCAAAACTTGAATGTCTTCTGTGCTGAGCACCGCGATGAACCCTCAGGGATGAAGTGATGTGCGACACCCTGCTGCCTGTCCCACCGTTTGACCTTGAGTGAGTCTTGCTCATGTCTCGTATAGTGAAACCCACTGTGTTCCCATCTACACTGGTCACTTAGACCTCGTTTCTTGTCCCCTCAGCAACACGGGGTAAGGACTATTAGTGTAGTATTTGCCGTATGTTATGGGTAGTGTGCAAATGGTCTCAGGTGTATGGGAGACTCTGTGTGAGGTTCTGGTTCTTTTTCTACTGCTCTGGCCCAAAGCAACCTAGGGAAGAGAAGCTTTACTCGGCTTACAATTCCATACCCTGAGAAGTCAAAGTAGGAACCCAAGAAACTGGTCACACCAGGTCCACAGTCACGAGCCGAGAGGAACAGATGTGCTCAGGCTGCCTGCTTGCTTGCTTGCTTTTTTTTTTTTAAAGAATTGTTTATTTTATTTTTTAAAAAAGGTTTACTTATTTTATGTATGTGAGTACACTGTCACTGTCTTCAGACACACCAGAAGAGGTCATCAGATCCCATGACAGATGGTTGTGAGCCACCATGTGGTTGCTGGGAATTGAACTCAGGACCTTTGAAAGAGCAGTCAGTGCTCTTAACTGCTGAGCCATCTCTCCAGCCTACCTGCTTGCTTTTATCTAGCTGTCTTCTGTACTGTGTGGCTCAGGATCCCCTGCCTAGGGAATGGTGCCACCTAGTAGGCTAGGTCTTTCTTCATCAACTAACAATGGAGACAGCCCTCCAAAGTCATTCCCAGAGACCAACCTGGTCTAAATAGCTTCTCACTAAGACTCTTCCCAGAGGATTTTAGGTTGTGTGAGGTTGACATCTGAAACAGACCAGCACAGTAGGCTGTGTGTAAATGTTGTGCTTAACAGTCTACAGATTTGGGTCCTTGCTGGCTTCATGAGCCAGCTCCAATCCCACTGAGCACTGACAGTCAGGACAACTGCAGCTGTCATTTTAAACCCCACGAAAAAGCATTGAATCAACTCTAATTTTCATTTTACTTTTTATTTTAACTGGAGGAGGAGAGCTTTAAAAACCTTCCTCACTCAGGGCCTTACTCTGTAACCCATGCCGGTCTATAACTCACTACATAGCCCAGGCTGCCCCGAAACTCATGGCAATCCTTCGGCCTTGGCCTCCCAAGTGCTGGGAATACAGGTATTTTTCACCATGCGTGGCTTTGTATTTTAATTTTACTATGGAATTGTCCTCATAAAAAGTAGATAGAATAGCAAACCAACCCCCCATAGACCCGTCACCCAACTTCAGTAATTTCCAGCACAGGACCAAGCTCATTTCTTTCAGAACCCTCTTCCTTCTCATCTCATTTGAATATGGGGTGGTGAGATGGCTCAGTGCATAGGGCTTTTGCCAGCAAGCCCGACAGCCCGAGTTCTATCACAGAAGCCACAGAAGGGAAGAACTGACTCTTACAAGTTGTCCTCTGATGTCCGTCCAAACAAGTACACACACACACACATACACACACACAAACACATTCACACACAAACACACTCACACATCCATACACACATACACACTCACACGCACACTCACACACTCATAAAAACACACACACACAAACACACTCAGACTCATACACTCATAAACATACACATACTCACACACTCATACACAAACACACTCACAATACTCACACTCATACACTCACAAACACACTCATACAGGATCACACACACTCACACACAAACACATTCACATGCTCATATACTCACAAACACACTCACAAACACACTCACACATCCATACACTCATACACACTCACACACACTCACAGAAAGAGAAATCAACCAACCAACCAACCAATCAGCCAATCAATAAATCTTGACCTCATGCTGCGCACCATTGGATGGCCAAAAGTGAGACCCCTATCTTTGCACAGATGGTGATCGCTCTGCAGAACACCACCGCCACCAGCCGATTCCTGCGTGTCCTCCCACCGTCCTCTCCGTACTTCGCTCTGGGACTTGGTAAGCTCGCTATAGTAGCAGTCTACACTGCCTCATGGTGATATGCTCTGCCCAGGCCTCTCTCCTTCAGCTGCCCCTGTGGTCCTTCTCACTCAGTCCACAGCCCCGCTCCTCCCTTCCATCAAGGTCCCAGAGTATTGGCAGGGCACTGGTTCTGCCAGTTTCCCACCCTTCATGCTGTGGCTGCCCTTGACCGGGTACTCTTCAGTGCTCGCGTCACCATGGCAACCTTCCAACCAGCCTTCCAGCTTTAGGGTCTGCTGCATCTTGAGGCCCCCATCTTGTAATCCCAGCACTTGGAAGGATTGACATTAATCCGAGGCCAGTGCGGGTAAAGAGTATCTGTCTAACAAAAAAAACAAACCAAACCCCTTTGCCGCGCAAACACCCTGATCTCAAAGGTCTGCCCACAAGATAATCCCTCTAGCACAGAGCCAGGTAGCCTACACCCATCCTTTCCTCATGGGCCTTCTCACTCCTGCTTGGGCCCTGGTGTTGTTACCTATGTGTGGCCCCCGCATGCCCCAGGCAGCATTACCGTCAGCCTGGCCTTGGTCCAGCTGTGGCCCGTGTCTGTTGCATGACGTTTCCTGGGGAGAGGTGAGCCAGCATCCCTTCGTCCCAGAAAGGCTCCAGCAACAGTTAGATAACCATTCCGACCAAGTTGAACTTGGTGAACCAGGGAGTCTACTGAGGTTTCTCACAGGGTCACAAACACAGGTGTCTATAAGGGAGAGAAGAATCTCCTCTCCCTCAGCGATCGCTCCCTGCTTCTCTAACCTCACAGAGGGGCCTCATAATCTTGTAGCTTGTAGGAGGTTCCCCAGCCTTATGGTGCTGTCTTCCCTCCAGAGCGAGTATTCAATTGGACAGAAATAAATACACTGTAACTCCCCAGGTGGATCAGCCGGAGCCCTGGTGGGCAGCTGGTCCTCCATCCTCATTGGTCAACAGGGATGTTCCCAGGAAAAGGCGGAATAGTGGCTCCCGGGATGACCTGCCAGTACATCGTCCAGTTCATCCCAGATTGTCTTGGCGATTTTGATGATTTCATTTTGGTGGAGACCCAGTCTCCCCACACACTGGTAATCCCCCTGCAGGCCCGGAGACCGCCACCAGTGCTGACCTGTGAGTGAGTGTGTGTACTGCACCTACAGTGGATCCATCTAGGTCTGGGGGAGCCCCTGTAAGGGCAGGCAGCATCTTGGGAGTCCCTGGAAGTGGCCCAGATCTTGTGTCTCTTGGGCAGAGGCTTCAGGATCCTGAAAGGAACCTTCCAGTAGCTTCTGTGGCAACAGGCCTCCATTCTTCTGTCAGCAGGGCCTGAGGCAGTAGGGGAAGGTGTTTCTGGGTACCCAGAGGAAATATCTGAAGACATTGACTCTGTTGCTAGGGGAGGGAGGCTTCCTTAGAAAAAAGCCAACCACAGGGTCCCTCTTGGGTACGAGCTCCTGCAGCTGCATTCAGCCCTTCCCCCAATTTGACCTACAACCTCCAAGACCATGTTGGGTCTCCCTGGCCCAGACACCCACTGCGGATCTGAGTCCAACAAGACGACTGTCATGTGACCTGGCAGCACCCTGGACAGAGCCCGAGGGACTCAGGGGCCAGGCCACGTGTCCTGTTTATCCTCCCTCCTCAGTGTGGCAGGCTGCTCTGAGCTCCATCCGGACCTCAGAAAGAGCGATGGCTGCAGGGTCCATTTGGAGCCATATGTTGTCCCTTTTTAAAACTAAATTTTTATTTCATGGATTTATCATACACGTGTGTATTTGGGGGAGGAGCATTGTGCCATGGTGCACATCTGGTTGTCACCTTGTAGGACTCGGTTTCCTCTTTCCACTGTGTCCCTCTGGGGGATTGAACTCAGATCCTCAGGTTTGGTAGCAAGCCCTTCTACCTGCTGTGCCACCTCACCAGCTCCCATTGCCCTCCCTGAGCAATCTCTTCCCGTGGTCTCAGTGTCACCAGTGTTGGACTGTGGCCACTGCCTCATTGGAGGAGTGAAGATAACCAAATTCATCTGCAAAAACGTGGGCTTCAGCGTCGGCAAATTCTGCATCATGCCCCAAAAGAGCTGGCCACCGCCGAGTTTCCGGGTGAGTGGCCGAGGACTGCGACCCGGGGAAGGGGTGAACCCACACAGGCAAATGAGCTTGGAGGCCACTGAGCCACACCTGGGACCAGAAACTCACAGAAGTAGGATGTCGCAATCTCCAGATCCACACGCCCTGGCCTGAGGACAAAAGTGTAGAGGTTAGGGGTGTGCTTCCGGTTATGAGCTCCTGTGCAAACCTGGGTGCGGCTTATGCCTTCTTTTATTTTTCAGTGCCGTCTCCAAGACGACCGCATGTGCTCAGTTTAGCCCAGAGTTATCATCGCAGATCTGAGCATTATGTGAGACCACAGGCAGGAAGCTTTGCCTGAATTCTGTATCAGCACAGTACTTAAAAGTATTTTGGGGATAGGGAGATGGCTCAGTCGGAGAAAACCGTTAAGTCCTCAGAACCGACATAAAAAGGCCACTGTGCTATAATCCCAGTCAGAGGCTGTGGAGACCGTACGGTGCCTGGTCTTCTCACTGGCCGGTCAGCCTACCTAGGTGGTGAGTTCCGGGCTAGTGGGAGACCCTGTCTCAAAAAACAGGCAGACAGCACTGTTGAAGGACAATATTTGGAGCTGTCCTCCAGCCTCCACATGCACACACATACACACATGTGAACATAGACACACATATTACACACAGTATGTTTTGAGCCGACCTTTCCAAGAGAGAGATTGCATATAAGTGTCTGTATCTCCAGGCTCTTTGCCCAGGCAACCCCAGCCTGGTACTAATGACATCACACGTACACTGGCATTTCTGGGTGGCCGGTAGATTTCCCCATGCCTTCTGGTTTAGACTATGAGACCTCCCTTCCTGGACATGTATGTTGCCCTGCAGGGTCTTGTAAGCACCAGTTCGTGCCTCTATCCTGGAGGATTTCTTGAGAAAAATCACAATTTTGCTACCAAGATGTCAGGTGCCCTTGCGACACAGAAACTGATAAGCACATGGTGGGTGGGGGTGGGGTGGGGGTCAGAGACAGATGCAGTGACCGCCACAGACAGGACCAGGAGTTCTTGGAGAATCCTTAAAATCCTCAGACAGCAAAATGGACACTTGGAAAAGCTTACAGTGTGAGTGCTGGATTTTGCAATTTCTTCCACACTAATGTGTAACCCTCTGCCTTTTTTTTTTTTTAAGGCTGTTGCAACCACTGGCTTTGTGGAGCAGCCTCCCTTTGGTGTAATGCCTTCTGTGTTTGAGCTGTCCCCAGGGTATGCCATACTGTTGGAGGTGGGTAATGAGACCTGTCCCTTCTGCTCACCCTTGGTGGCTTCCTCAGAAATCCCATCATCACCTCCCTCTGTGTTCTCATGACTCACGCCCACACTGTTCTGACCCAAGGCACAGCATCAGTGGGGTCTAGACAGGTGCGTGTGCTTGTGTTCTGTTGGGTTATGTATATGGCTGTCTTATGACTCCCACAGGATGTCCTCTGGCCTCCAAATACACGCCGTGGCACACTCTTCCACATAAGTACTAACTAGATTCATTGATTTAAAAAGTCAGTGCACGGTATTGCTGTTTGAATCCAGAATGTCTCCCATAAGCTCATCTTTCAAAATCAGTTTCCTCAGCAGCTGGCATTATTTGCAGAGTCTGCAGAACCTTTCACAGGTGAGGCCTTGCTGGTGGAAGAAGAGCAGCAGGGCCAGACCGCTGAGGGTTACAGGGAGCCGCACAAGGGTTACATGCAGGCCCTGGTCCTTGCCACGCCTTTCTCTGCTTGCAGTGTCTGTAATGTAACAGTGTCTCTGTTACACACACTCTTCCTCTCCCCTAGGTCTTGTTCCTCCCTACTGGCCTAGGAAAGGCAGAAGAGACCTTCATCATCGTGTGTGACAACTGTCAGACAAAGGAGGTGGTCATCGTAGGTGGGGCCATGGCTCCGGGAGCTGCTATCCACAGTGACACAGCAGTGGCACGCTGTGCCCACCCCATCTTGGGGAGAGGGGATCTGGGGGCAGTGGGGGTGGCCACTGCCTCGAACTTCTGAGCCTCTACTTCCCTAGTGCAGAGGTTACAGGTGAAATCTTTCATTCTCTCTCTCGGAGTCCGTTTTGAACTCTGAGAGTCACCTGTGGCTCACACTGCTTACACCTCTAGGGTTTTGAAAGGTTGGAGAGGGCATTTTTATGAGTTGTACAGGTGCATGCAGTGTTTCCTTTCCCTTCCTTCTTTCCTTCCCTTCCTTCCTCTCTTCCTTATTTCCCTTCCTCCCTCCCCTCCCTCCCTTCCTCCCTCCCTCCCTTTCCTGCCTCCCTCCCTCCCTCCCTTCTTTCTTTCCTCCACTCCAATTGTCTGTCAAGTTCCACTCAGTAGACATTAATTGATCATATGCAAAGCTCTCAAGTCAGTCTCCAGACCTGAGGGTGGATGGGTGCTCAAGGCCCACTTTCATTTTCTGTGTGCTCTGGGGGGCCCTGGATAAGGTTATCTGCGTGGGGTGTGACATGGGTCCTGTGGCAGCCTTTGGCCACAGGATGCTGACATCGGCCTGGTGATAGTTGAGCCTCACTCCTCTCCTCCGTCAGGGACAGGGCAGCTGGTGGCTTTGGATCTGATCTATATTTCTGGTGGGAAAAGTGAACCAGACCCGGGAGAACTGAAAGATTTAACAGCCCAATACTTTATCCGGTTTGAGCCTGAGAACGTCCAGTCCACCGCAAGGAAACAGCTCATCATCAGAAATGCTACGTGAGTGGCCCTTGGCCTGTTGTTGACACACACCCATGGTTCTATCTTAATCAGCCCTGTATTCCTCATGAGGGAAGAGTGTTTTCTAAGTCGGGGAATTGTGAGCCCAGAGTGGATCCAGAAGGATGGAAGGATCTTGAGTCACAATGCTGATCATGCAACCATTAGATTTGAGTGGCTGTTTCTCTTTATTTGGAGTGTGTGTGTGTGTGTGTGATGTGTAAGGTTATATGTGTAATGTGTAAGGTGTGTGTATGTGTAATGTGTGTGTGTGTGATGTGTAAGGTGTGTGTGAGAGAGAGGTCTGTGTGAGGAGTGTAAAGTATGTGTGAGGTATGTGTGTATGATGTTTACAGTCTGTGTGTGAGGTATGTGTGTGTGTGTGTTTGGGATATATTCAGGTGCACACATTTGTGGGGTTTGTGAGGTATGAACGGCTAGAAGACAAGCTTTGTTCTGGTTCCTCAGGCACCATCATCTTGGTTTTTATGAACTGTCATCCTGTATTGTCCTAAGTGGTTGGCCCAGGCTTGGCTGGCAGGGAGCCCATAGGATCCCCTGCTCCGTGCACTGTCAGCACTGGGATTCCGAGCCTGCGTCACCACCTGGCTTTTGTTGTTGTTTTGTTTTTTACAGGGTCTCAATGTGTAGACTTGATTGACCTTGAACTCCTTCTTTAGACCAAGCTGGCCTCAAATTGACACAGACCCGTCTACCTCTGCCTCCTGAGTGCTGGGATCACCGTGACCAGCTCAGGCCAGGATGTTTTGCTTTTTTAAATGTGGGTCCTGAGACCTCACTCGGGCCCTGTGCTCACCAAGAGCTGTCTTCTCAGCCAGCTGTTTCTATTTAAATCAATTAAAATGAGATCAAATGACAAGTACCTCCTCAGTACACCAGCCGCCTTTTAAGTTCTTGGTAGACACTGATAACTACTGGCTACTGTACCAGACAGTGTGGCCACACAGAGTCTTCATCCCTGTGGGAAGCAAGATTGCACTGTGTACTTGATACCTGTCCACCATACCAATCTGTGTCTGTGTGACTGTGTGTATATGTGTGTGTGTCTGTGTTTGTGTATATGTGTGTGTGTCTGTCAGTATATATGCCTGTCTGTGTATGTATGTGTGTCTGTGTGTGTGTGTCTGTGTGTGTGTATGTGTATGTGTCTGTATGTGTGTGTTTGTGTATCTCTGTGTGTGCCTGTGTCTGTATATGTGTCTGTGTGTGTGTGTCTGTGTGTATGAGTGTATGTCTGTATGTGTGTTTGTATCTCTCTGTGTGTGTCTGTGTCTGTATGTGTGTCTGTGTGCGTGTGTATGTGTGTGTGTCTGTGTGTATGTGTTGCCTGTC